AAGTTAGCCAGAATTCCCTATCAAGACGCGCTGTGCTACCTGAGTAGTTTGAACTGTAGATACGCTGGTAACCCCACAGCCACGAACAATCCCAATTTTCCCTTGGCTGACGCGGGCTCGAGAGAGAAGCACAAGAAAACATGGAAAAGATAACTGAAACAGGTATCGGGTGTACCCGCACACGCAGAGGAACAAATGTTTCGTCTTGAATCCACAAGCGTTGCAACTGTGGGATGTCGTCCCGATTTCCCAGCCAAAGTGTAGTTCTCGTCGGCTTGTAAGTTTGGGCCGTTGCCCGACCTGCTCAAACAGTCAACGGGCCTGTTCAGGCTGGGCCGTTTCGCAAGTGTCAAGCTGTAATGTAGAGGATAAAAACAACTTTCAAATCATAATTCTTTGCGTTTTACGTAGACACATTTCAGCCATCAGCACTGGAAGTGCCCAACCTAGTGATGCCATATTTTTTTGGCACCGGGGGACTGAAGCGAGCATTGCTTTCCGCGAGCTTTCGTCAGCTTCGCCACAGGCAGTAAGGGACTGTAAACAAAACACCAATGTACGTGTACGCAGATTTGCAACAGTGTTGGGTGGCTACGTTTGTTGTACATATGAAGTCCGGGGTGCCAAAGCGAAATTTTGAACCACTCCTCGAAATTTTGAATCACGTAGCCGCGAGTGCTTGTACATGACGGACGGAGTCGAGCATGGGACGAGCAAATTTCTGTGACATGGGTGGGCCTAAATCATGTACAGTACCCACAGAACCCATAACCGTGTATACTCAACAGCCATTTAAAGCCCGAGTCAAGAATGGTAAGGCTTCAAGAATACTGAACTTGAAAGGGGTTGGGAAAGCGACGGAATGGGCAAGCGATCGTCATGTGAAGGCCAGCGACATGATGGGAGAGTGTGGGAGACACTTAGAGTAAGCGTGGGCGGCGGACGCGGGAAGGGAGAGCCACCTAAAAGGCGACGGGAGGGGAGGCGAATTCAAGTTCAAGAATCTTGAACTTGAAAAGTTGCCATTCTAGACTCGGGCTTTAAAAGGTACGTACAGTCATTGGCAAACCCAACCGGTGCTAAGGTAGAAAAAAACGACTGTTGCAAAAGTACAATACTTTTGCAGAATTCAAGGGGAACATCGAGCGCCAACCACGGAAGTGGGGTTGCCTTGCCCGGAGGAGAAATATCTATCACTGTAGCTGCATCGTTCTTCCACAGAAACCACATTTCGAGCAACTGCTGCCACGCTGACGCGTCAACACGCGGGGCTGTGGGCCGCCCGGGTTACGGCCTCTCTCTCACCCCTACGACGAGATGGGGCGGCCGACCCTTGGCCCCGAGCCGGGGACACCTGACGATGCGTTCCCGACGGGCCCCGACCCCACGCCAGCCCGGCCACTCTGACGCACCCCGGGCCACTCTGACGCAGCACGGGCCACGCTGACACGGCGAGTTGGGGATCGCGGAATTCGCCCGTCGAGCAGGCTCGGAACCGGGGCTCGATCGCGCGAACCACGCCGGGTTACCCGCGTTACTAGTAGGTTTTGGCCGTGAAAAATCGCTTCCGCGTTACTAGCGTTAATGAAAATTGTTATGATCTGTACTAAACAGAGTGCGCGGAATACTTTATAAAAGGAATTAATTACAGAATTACAAAACAATGAAGAGAACAAGCATTTTATAGGGCGAATACGTGCTAGGCGAGGACCTCGTGGCGTGCGAGGTTTGGATGTGTCGCGATTGGTGCGGGGCGACTCGAAAGTGGTTCGGGCCGAAACTGTAGGCCGAACCCATCTAACGAGAAGAGCTCGGGGCGGTCCTCGCTAAGGGAAGCTTCAATAGTAATAAAATGTATATTCATTACACTCTCCCAGCTTCTAGATAAGGCCTCCTTATACGTCGCAGAGTCTTGCAGTAGCTTGAAAACTGCAGATCTTCGGTTGAAACTGATCTGACGGTGTAGCGAAAAGTTGACCTTCGAGCTGACGCGTGGCAGACCAGTTGACCAGGCGAATTTTAAAAAGAGTTGGAATGTCAGCCGTTTATCGTCCTGATTTCGATCTGACGATTGCGATGCAGAAGCGAACTGAATCAGCGATCGAACTGAGGTCGTCGATGTGGCGAATGCGAATCGGACGGTAGTGACGTTGGCGATGTTGGCGGGAATTCTGACACGATGTCAGAGTTCGGTGAGTCAGAAGTCGTCGATGTCGATGAAGCCATCGTGAGCGTCCGTGGTGCTGTCAGTGTCTGACGAGACTGTCGGAAACTGCCAAGTACAGTGCGAAAAAAAAAAACTTTCTCCCCCCCACCCCCCTTGAAGAAAAGGGTAGACCATCAATGTAATACAGCTGCGCGGGCACACAACTCCAACCACCCTGACGCCGAGGGGACAAGAACACCAAGTGTTATGAACCCCGTCTGAATTTGAGCAGCTGCACAGTCGAAAATGTTGTCGGTGGCGAAATATCGCTGGTGTGGCGCTTAAAAGCCTGCAGGGTAAACTCCGTCGAATGTCCCTTGAATATATAATCGGTCGTGCGCAGGGACTCACCTGCCGCCCGTCAGCGAGTTTCTTGTGATGAAAATCCTCGTGTTGTCCTTTTGTCGTGACTGCTGCTGCAGCACCAATTCACCCGATTTGCTGCAGCATCTACAACCCAGAAATTACTGCCGTTGTCTTGTTGTCGTGGCGAAATCGAAATCCTCGATTGCTGCAGCTTCTCCAGCTGGCAGCAGTTGCTACCCAGAGCCGCTGCTATCCTGTAGTTGGCGCGAGGTGTTTGTCGCTTGCTGAAAAGCGAACCCATCCCAAAACGTCTGTAGGCGTGACTCCGCATCGTGACTAGTTCAGCGTCGAAGACCGTCGCGAAAATAGCAAGTCGTTGTAGCACATCCGCGAAAATTGACGAGAGGGGCGGGTCACGTAACTGACCTGTGTCAGACTTGAAAACTTAGTCGAAAAACCCGAACTCTGGTTCTGATGACATCAGCACCAGCGGCACCTTTGTCGTAACTCGTCGAGGCCTTTGTCGTAGGGAAATTATACGGGCAGTCATAATTAGGCCTGTTTTATCACGTTTGGTCAAAGGGGTATCACGGACAGTCACAGTACAGTTCATATCTATCGCGGGTGATCACAGTGCTATCACGGATAGTCACCCTATGGTTTTCACTCGGCTTGTAGTCCTTGTGCGTGCATGCGCGTGTGGATGGAATGGTATGAAATCATGAGATAATATATATTTCATGCTTATTATAGTGTGTGAATGATGAGTCGTGATGTCGAATGTGTGTGTCGAGTCAATAGCGAGTTATCGCTATTCGCGTGTCACGTCGTCGTTTGTGTGTCGTGCGTGTTTTCTATTGTGTCGTGTGTCGAACGTTCGGCGTGTCGCAGGTGTGCACAGCAGACTTCCAAGAACTCAATGAAGAATTATCTTGAAGAATCAGAGTCTCGGTTTCAAGATTCAAGTGATCTCGAAGATCGCCAAAATGGTAAACTTAAAGATAGTGAGAATAGTTACATTACAATTTGTAGTGTAACATTTCTCTTGGTGTAGGCCCTTGTGGAGGGTATTTTCGAGACCCTTCTTGGTTGGGGACAGTGTGGCACTGTTCCACATCACTGTACCTCGGCTCTTGGGGTTTGTACAGGCTGGGAGCCATTCCCAACTCGTAACTCTTCCTAATTTGTGTTCTAAGTCTATAGTGGCTGCCATAGTGCCGTTCGTTCAAACCGGCGTTGCGTCGTCAATACTTGATGAAATCGTGCGACGTAAATTGCCTATTGTAGGCGACATCAAGACGCTCCAGATCCAAATTATAGCAAGTCATTTGGAGCTTTGAACAGAACGTTATCAACGTTTGAAGCCGCCGTGCAGAAATCCGACTGTGCACTCTATCTTTCGTTTTAAGCGCATTCAAGCCTATTGTGACTATAACAAGATAACAAATGCAATTTGACACGACCTCCCCACCCACACTAACAGGCGCCAATGGCGTTTTACCCCAAGGGCATTGTCATTGGGGAGCCCGATTATGATGGGGAGGATGCCTCATGCCCCATGTCCCATGCTCACCCCCCCCCCCCCCCCCCCCCCCCCCCTTGTACAAAGAGGCACCCATGGTCTTCGAGGATTGCCATTGCGGAGCTTGATGAGGATGATGATGAGGATGGGGGAGGGGAGGATTATGAGGAGGTGGAGGATGTTGGTGATATGGATGAGGAGGAGGATGACAGTGATAGCGGTGACAACGAGTAACAGCGTTAGCAACCTTTCTTTGTTTCTCAATTTTAATAATAAATGGTGCTGGAAAGTTTAGAATCTCCTATTCTTGGTGGTGTACGCCTTCTCTTAAAGGGCAACACCCGAATTACTCAACGGAAGTCAACGCGGGAAAACAGATTTGGGAAAGCAGGGATTTGAGGTTCGTAAACCTCCCCTAAACCTTTCTTTCCCGAAACCAGTAGGAGAGAGACACAAACTGGCATCAGTTTGTGAAGGCCTCTTTGTAATTCGGGGGCTGGGCTTTAAGTAACGGGACGGGGCCATGGGGCTTTAATCGACCAATATTTATGCTCCTAATCGACCATGCCTGCACTTCAATAGTCTAGATCATTTCAATGTCTCATAAGCAGTTATATTTTTCTTAACTTCAGACGAAGTGTGCAATATACTGCCTCGAGGAGGAGAATCAACAATGTGGTAACTTCACAGACTGTTACGCAGAACAGTGGAGCAGCATTGTAAGAGCAAGATATCCTATGAGCTTGAGAAAAAAATAGCAAGTTTCTGCAGAAACATACGGTATCCCTTTCAATACATTCATCCTCACCCGCAGAGCAGCTTTGTCTTCTGTAAAACGCCAGCCATGAAACACCATCTCTCCCCTGCACCCGCAGCATCACCATATCCAACCACCCTCACTTGAAGCAGGGCACAAGCACCTGTAAGACTAGGTTACAGGTAGGCAGTAGGTACCCTCTCTCCCCCCTATACGTTTGTCTTCATCCTCCTCAGGGCAACGTACCCCAGCCCGCGGTAAAGCACCACTTGCACCAACAGCGCCACCACCTCCACCCACGCGTCTCCCAGCGAGAAATCCCGGAAAGACGGCGCGGCCGACATCGGGCAGATAATCGAAGTGGGGTCGCTCGGGGGGCCGCATTCGTAGGTGTCAGAGGGGGAGAACTGGGTTTTGATGATAAGGCGGTAGGCATAGTATGTGAAGCAGACGTATTTGATCCAGGAGATGAAGATGGGGATAGTTTGCAGGTAGAATCCTCCTGCCATCATGAATGTGAGGAGGAGCACGGAGGCGAGCGTGGTGGCTATTTTGACGTCCATCACTGCTGCTCCCAGGAACAGCCCGCAGCCCTGAGGTAGGGGGTGAGGGGAGGACAGAGTGGGAAGATTGAATTAACTGTGCATACGAGCATGAATGCCAAGAGGCGAGGGTGTTTGCCACTTTGAGCCCATCACTTCTGCTTCCAGGAAGAGCCCACAGCCCTGCGTGTGGTAGAGGGGACAGGGAGGGAAGAAAGGGTAAAATGAATCAGATGTGCATGCAGCAGAAAGGGTGGGATGGGCTTAATCCTGGTGATGAATGGTGGGATGGACTGCAGGTAGGTTGGGTAGAGCAGCCCAAAGAAGGCAGCAGCAGTGAGCTTGAGCGAAGCCATGAAGTCGCAGAAGAGGAGGAAGAGCGTGGGGAGGAAAGCAGCAGCACCGGACAACGGCACGTGGAAGGACCCACCTGAGCCGTGGTGACAATAAGGTAGATTGAGAAGAGGAATGCAAAAAAATTCGCAGCAGTGAGCTTGAGAGAAGCCATGAAGTAGGTGGTGAGGACGAAGAGCGTGGGGAGGAGCCACTCCATGGGAAGATCCGAGAGCTGGCGGCTGACGTAGTAGGCTGATAGACGGTACATGTCGCTCGCCCTCTCCTTGGCCAGGATGGTGCGCTCCTGCGGTGGAGTGCGGTACAATGCGGTGGAGAGGGGTGGAGAAATTTGAGCTTTGGTTAAGTGCGTTGGAATGCGGTGAAACAAAGAGGAGAAGGGTTCATAGGCTGAGGTAGTAGGCCAATATCCGGTACATGTCGCTCGCCCATCCTTTGGCTAGGAACGTATGGGGGGACAAGTGCTTGACATGAAGAAGAGCGGCAGTATGGGGGGATGTCTCAAGCAAAAGACGATAGTCCGCGGCTAGCAACGACACTCTCTTGGTGGGACAAGGTGCGGGGGAGCTGACCTGGGGGGAGGCGATGCTTACCTGATGCTTACCTTGGTACTTAGAAGCTAAAGGCTAAGAGCTAATAACTAAGAGCTAAAGGCTGGAAATTGAAAGCTGACCTGGGGAAGGTGAAGATGGCAGCAGAGAGAGGGAAGAATTTCTAGGGGTACCTTGATGCTTACTTGGCGCTTATTTTGGTACTTTGAAAGCTAAAAGTTAAGAGATTAAAGCTGGAATTTGAAATCTGACCTGTGGGAAGGTGAAAAGCGCGCCGAAGAGAGGGAAGAAGTTCCAGAAGATGTTGGTGAAGAAGAGCAACTTGACCTGGTGATGGTGAGGAGAGGTTAGGGCACAAGGGGGATTGATGACAAGGAATGAAGGGAGGAGGAATGGCAGGGAAGAGAGGGACGAGGCCCCAGCGGATGGATATGACGAAGAGCAAGCCCACCTGGTGATGGTGATGAGAATGAGGGATGTGGTAATGAGCGGCAGGGCACAAGGAGTGTAAGAGAATGTGAAAAGGATGGAAAGAGAGGGAAGAAGCCCCAGAAGATGGAGATTAAGAAGAGCAACTTCACCTGGTGATGGTGGTGAGAGGGGGGAGCTAAAACGGGGATCGACAACAAGGAATGAATGGAGGAGACAAGGCGGTGAAGAGAGGCAAGCAGCGAAAAAGATGGAGATGAAGACGAGCAGTCGCGAATTCTCTGCATCTGAATTGTCACCTGTTTCTGACCTGATTCTGCACCTAATTCTAGCCTGATCCTTCCTGTGAGTTTTCGCATGATCCTGCATCTCAATTTCCACCTGATCCCCCATTCAAGTCCCCACGTTTTCCAGCATCTGACTAATCACCTGGGCCTGAATCTCCGTGGCAGTGTTGCGCTCCAAACCGAACCACAGCATTCCACAGATGAAGCGCAATGAGTCTTCACCTGAGCTGTCACCTGAACTTTCACCTGATGCTGCATGTGGCTTCTCACCTGGTCCTGAATCTCCGCAGCTGTGTCCCGCTTCGAGCCAAACCACAGCGTTCCGCAGATGAAGCCCAACGCTATCACCTGGGAGGGGGGATGAGACGGGCAGTGCGGGAGACATGGTAAGGGTGAGGGTGAGCAATGAACACACAGGCTGGGGGACTGAGCACATTATAGGTCGAACGACCTGAATTGATGTCCTGATAGACCGCGCGTTCACAGCACCCAGACCTGCAGCAGCCAGGGCGCCGTCCACCCCCACAGGCTGCCGCTGCAGCAGTGAGAATTGCAGCAGCCCACCCCCTCCCCTGCAGCACCACCCAGGAGTCCCTTGCATGGAAGGTGGCCTTTTGGTTCCACACTCACCTGATAGAAACGGAGCGGTGAAAGCACTTCAAGTCGTCTCTCTTTTAAGCCCTCGCGTCCACAGCACTGGGAACTGCAGCAGCCATGGCGCCATCCACCCCCGCCGTTGCAGAACCACCCGGGAGTCCCTTGCGTGTGGGGTGGGCTTTTCGTTCCACACTCACCTGAACGAACCGGAAGGGTGAAAGCACTTCATGTCGTCTCTCTTTAAGATCGCGCGTCCACAGCACCGAGAACTGCAACAGCCACGGCGCTGTCCACCCCCGCCGCTGCAGCACGCTCTTCTGGGCGGCAACTGAGCTGGCGGGCAGCCGTTCCAGCTCAGCATGCACTAGCGGCTGCTGCTGCTCCCTGTGAGCTCGTGCCACGAACTGAGATTGACAGTGGGGATTGACAGTGGGAATGGGGATAGGGGATGGAGTGGGTATGGGTAGTGGGAGTGGGAATCAGGGGGAGATTTGAGAAATCTCAAAACATGTACCAGCGGCTGCTGATGAACTGGGATTGACAGTGGGAATGGGGATCAAGCAGGGATTGGAGATGGGGATTGAATATGAGGGGCTCTTTTCAAACGTACAGACACAACACAGAAGGGAGGTAGAGCGAGTGGAAAATTTAAAGAGTGAAAAAAAAAAAAAAAAAAAAAAAAAAAAAAAAAAAAAAAAAACTCGCCTCTTTCATGTCGTGTTGTTGCTCTGGCACGCCCTTCTCTTGCCACTCCTCGCTCTCCGCCAACACACCCGGCAACCGCACATCCGCCGTCGTCCCCGTCGCCAAATCCAGCAGAAAATCCGGCGGGTTCGTCGGAAACAGCGGCTCAAAACCCAGCCGCTCAAAATACCCCATCGCGTCCGCAGCCTGCCCGAAAAAAAACACATTGCCCTCCGATAAGAGCAGCAGCTTATCGAACGCATGAAACATCCGCGACGACGGCTGGTGAATGGTGGTAATAACGGTTCGGCCCGATTTGGCGAGGTTCCGAATGACTTGAATGATGCGGAGAGCGGTGGAGGAGTCGAGGGCAGAGGTGGGTTCGTCGAGCAGCAGCATGGAGGGGTTGATGAGGATTTCATGCGCGATGCTCACTCGCTTGCGCTCCCCTTCGGATATACCGCGAAGGAATGGGCCACCTATCACCGTGTTGCGACACCTAAGGGGGGCGGAGGGAGGGGGCATGGGAAGGGGCAGGTAGAGGGGGGGTTGGAAGGACCACGAGTTAAAAAAACGACACCCCCACCCCGCCCCCTCTTCATGTATCAAGGCTCAGCTCAGTGATGGTCTCGTCTGCGCGCTGCACCTTCTCCGCCCAGCTCAGCTCCTTGGGCAGCCGCAGCACAGCAGCGTACATGAGCGTCTCACTCGTAGCGGCACAGCAACATGGCAGCACAGCAGCACACTGGCATATGCATGCGCCTCATTTCTCCCTTGATTGGTCACTCACTTGTCCAGCCCCAGCAATGTGATGTTCTCATCGGCGCGCTCCACCTTCTCCTCCCAGCTCAGCTCTTTTGGTAGGCGCAGCACAGCGGCGTACATGAGGGTCTCGCGGACCGTCAGGTGTTGAAAGAATATGTCCTCCTGAGTCACGAAGCCCAGCCTGGGAGGAGGGGGAAGACAGGGACAAGGAGACAGAGGGAGAGGCAGATGAGGGCAGAGGGCAACCGCAGCACAGCGGCGTACATGAGGGTTTTTCGCACCGTGAGGTGTGTCGTTGTAAGTGACCGTCCCCACCATGTTGCCCTGCTTGAACCGCCCCCCCAGAACGTTCAGGAACGTCGTCTTGCCTGCCCCAGACGGCCCCATCATTGCCAGCACCTCCCCCGGCGCAACACTCCCGCTTATCCCGAGCAAAATCAACAAAACAGTGCCCCCTCTCCCCACACCCTCCTAGACACCGGTCCCTCTCACAAACCAACGCTCCCTCCCCTCCCTGACACTTACTTTCTCTTGAGCGCCTTGCTGTAAGGCATGTCGTTGTAAGTGACCGTCCCCGCCATGTTGCCCTGCTTGAACCGCCCCCCCAGCACGTTCAGGAACGTCGTCTTGCCTGCCCCAGACGCCCCCATCATCGCCAGCACCTCCCCCGGCGCAACGCTCCCGCTTATCCCGTGCAAAATCTCCTTCTCCCGCACCTCCGGTCCCGCTTTCCCCTCCGACCCCGCTTCCACGCCTCCCCCAGCGCCTCCCCCTGCTCCTTCCCCGGCGCCTCCCCCGGGGCCTTCCACTCCCACGGTTCCCCCTTTCTTGGAAGCGAGGAGCGCGTGGAGGGGGGGGACCGTGGGGAGGCAGGAGTGGCGCGGGCCCCAGGAACCCCCCTTGGCAATCTGCACCTTGTAGCGCACGTCCTTGAACTGGGGGGAGGGAGGAGTGGGGAGAGCGGCAGGGGTGGGGAGGGGAAGGGGAAAAGGGGATGATGTGTTGGGGGGAAACAAAGGGTGGGGAGGCAGGAGTGGCGCGGGTCCCAGGAGACCGCCGTGGCGGTCTGCACCTTGTAGCGCACGTCCTTGAACTGGGGGGGGGGAAGGGGTGGGTGGGGGGGGGGGGGGGGGGGGGGGTGGGGGGAGAGGATTGGGGAGATGTATTGGGGGGGAACAACGGGGGTGGGAAGGAGGAAGGCGGATGAACGCAGGAGGACGGGAGCGACACTAAGTCATAAACAGAAGCTGTGCTTGTAACGAGCAGGTCCACCTTGGCTGTGCTTGTTTGAATCTCAACCTGACTGTGCTTGTATCTCACTTTGATTGCACTTGTAAATCGAGTCTCCCCTTGACTGTGACTGTATCGATGATGTTCTTCTTGCAGTATCTGCTCATCTTGCGGCTCTTAACCATCTGTGCTTGTATCGAGTCTCACCTTGACTGTGATTGTCTTGGTGATGTTCTTCCTGTTGTATCCGCTCATCGTGTGGCTTCTATCCATCACCTTGCTCTTGAGCCGTTTATACACCCCCCCCACTCCTCTCCCTCCTCCTCCTCCTCCCTCTCCTCCCTCACCCCCGCTCTCTTCCCCCACTCCACCCACACTCTTCTCCCAGCTAACGCTCCTCCCCGGGGCCCCCCCTCCTCCGCGCCTCTCCCTCGCGGAGTGCTTCTCGGAAGTTTCTGCTCCATTGGTCGACAGTCCGATGGTACTAACGCTACCGTCAACGTCAACCACGACGTGGGAGTCTCCGTTTAGCATTCGACTGCCGTCGTGACTCTCAGCGTGGCCGCTGGCTTGGCCCTTCAGGTCATTGGCTGCCAGAGCAGAAAATCAGGTTCAGGACAGCATGGGGGATGATGCGAAGGAGACGGAAGGCACAAAAGGAGTGGGCGTTCCTAGAAGAGGAAGGTGGGTACTAGGGCGAGAACCAGGTGTGGAGCGTCTAGGACGACTGAAAAGGGGATCTCTATTATTGCTTTTGTTCTCCTTTCAAAAGATGTACAGAGGATGTGTACAGACCACACATAAGCACAAACTGTGTACAGACCACACATAAGCACAAACTTCATTTCGTTCTCCTTCGTTCTCCACGCATTACCTTCAAACGGACCGTCTGGATGCAGTATCTCGGCCTCCTCGCTCCCCCGATCCTGGGGTTGCTCCTGACTAGCCATGGCGGACGGTGCTCGTCGAGTCGCCTAGCCTAGCAAGAAGCGGCAACTTAGAATAACGGGAGTTGACCGAGTGCGTCCTCGATCGGTGAGGCGACAGCCGATTCGTGCTACAGCCGGTGAGTCCGACCGCTGGTTCGCGCTACAGTGTCAAAGAGTCGCAAGTGCCAAAGTGTGTTGGCGTATCGGAGCGACTTCGCAGCAGGCACGGCAAGAAACGAGCCCCGAGTGAGACCAATACCAACAAAATCTAGTAGTATCTACGGCTATGAAGAGCTACTCCTAGCTGCGCGTTTTAAGACTGCCTCAAATCGACGACCGGAGAAACCAATTTCTCGAAATGAGAAAAAGAAACTACGCCTTCACTTGAATATGGACCTCTTCGATACGTCTTGACGTATGCGGACCTCTTCGCAACTAAAGACGTATGCGGAAATGCAGAGTACACAGCGACGTTTGCTCGGAATCCCTCAGTCGAGCGCACTTTACTTCAGCAGCCCGAACCGAAGCAGCAGCCTGAACTGAAGCAGGAGCCTGGCGAATAAGTTTCTGCACTCCTCCTGACCACTGCTACCTGGATTCTGAACTAGAGCAGATGATGGTGGTGCCCCTCATGTGCTGGAATCGGCTCGAGGTAGCCGTCGTCAAAACACCACTCCAAGGAATGCGCATTCCTGTACGATCGTTGGCAGAGGTGACGCGCCATACGCAAAACGATGCAGCAGGCCTTTTTTTTCGTCCAGGACACCCACGAGAAGCGGGATACAAGCTGGGATGCGAAAAAAAGCTGCTGCACCATTCAAACTCATTACTATATGCGCAGGACAAAATTGGTCAAGAGCACGAGGTGCGTGATACACTTTTGCATGGGGAAATAAATAAAACATCCACACGATGCTCCTAACCCTAACCTCGAAACATTCTGGCATACGCGGAGGCGCCAAACGAACATTGTTAACCTAGGCACACAACAACGACAAGGGTGTCAAGTGCGCGAACAAAAAAGAGACCATCGTACGCTGTTCGTGCAATGAGACAAGAAGGGTGATGCTACGGAGGGTACAGTATTTCACCGAAAAATGTTGACCGGAAGTTGCTCGAATACACTTTTTGCTCTCTAAACTGTTCACTTTGAACAGTGCCGAATTTAGTCCACAAGAGCAGCGGTTGACGTCACGGGAAACGGCCCATAGCTTACAAGCCCACAACAAAATACTCGGTTCTTGACCTCGAATAAGCTAGCCAGAATTCCCTATCAAGACGCGCTGTGCTACCTGAGTAGTTTGAACTGTAGATACGCTGGTAACCCCACAGCCACGAACAATCCCAATTTTCCCTTGGCTGACGCGGGCTCGAGAGAGAAGCACAAGAAAACATGGAAAAGATAACTGAAACAGGTATCGGGTGTACCCGCACACGCAGAGGAACAAATGTTTCGTCTTGAATCCACAAGCGTTGCAACTGTGGGATGTCGTCCCGATTTCCCAGCCAAAGTGTAGTTCTCGTCGGCTTGTAAGTTTGGGCCGTTGCCCGACCTGCTCAAACAGTCAACGGGCCTGTTCAGGCTGGGCCGTTTCGCAAGTGTCAAGCTGTAATGTAGAGGATAAAAACAACTTTCAAATCATAATTCTTTGCGTTTTACGTAGACACATTTCAGCCATCAGCACTGGAAGTGCCCAACCTAGTGATGCCATATTTTTTTGGCACCGGGGGACTGAAGCGAGCATTGCTTTCCGCGAGCTTTCGTCAGCTTCGCCACAGGCAGTAAGGGACTGTAAACAAAACACCAATGTACGTGTACGCAGATTTGCAACAGTGTTGGGTGGCTACGTTTGTTGTACATATGAAGTCCGGGGTGCCAAAGCGAAATTTTGAACCACTCCTCGAAATTTTGAATCACGTAGCCGCGAGTGCTTGTACATGACGGACGGAGTCGAGCATGGGACGAGCAAATTTCTGTGACATGGGTGGGCCTAAATCATGTACAGTACCCACAGAACCCATAACCGTGTATACTCAACAGCCATTTAAAGCCCGAGTCAAGAATGGTAAGGCTTCAAGAATACTGAACTTGAAAGGTGTTGGGAAAGCGACGGAATGGGCAAGCGATCGTCATGTGAAGGCCAGCGACATGATGGGAGAGTGTGGGAGACACTTAGAGTAAGCGTGGGCGGCGGACGCGGGAAGGGAGAGCCACCTAAAAGGCGACGGGAGGGGAGGCGAATTCAAGTTCAAGAATCTTGAACTTGAAAAGTTGCCATTCTAGACTCGGGCTTTAAAAGGTACGTACAGTCATTGGCAAACCCAACCGGTGCTAAGGTAGAAAAAAACGACTGTTGCAAAAGTACAATACTTTTGCAGAATTCAAGGGGAACATCGAGCGCCAACCACGGAAGTGGGGTTGCCTTGCCCGGAGGAGAAATATCTATCACTGTAGCTGCATCGTTCTTCCACAGAAACCACATTTCGAGCAACTGCTGCCACGCTGACGCGTCAACACGCGGGGCTGTGGGCCGCCCGGGTTACGGCCTCTCTCTCACCCCTACGACGAGATGGGGCTGCCGACCCTTGGCCCCGAGCCGGGGACACCTGACGATGCGTTCCCGACGGGCCCCGACCCCACGCCAGCCCGGCCACTCTGACGCACCCCGGGCCACTCTGACGCAGCACGGGCCACGCTGACACGGCGAGTTGGGGATCGCGGAATTCGCCCGTCGAGCAGGCTCGGAACCGGGGCTCGATCGCGCGAACCACGCCGGGTTACCCGCGTTACTAGTAGGTTTTGGCCGTGAAAAATCGCTTCCGCGTTACTAGCGTTAATGAAAATTGTTATGATCTGTACTAAACAGAGTGCGCGGAATACTTTATAAAAGGAATTAATTACAGAATTACAAAACAATGAAGAGAACAAGCATTTTATAGGGCGAATACGTGCTAGGCGAGGACCTCGTGGCGTGCGAGGTTTGGATGTGTCGCGATTGGTGCGGGGCGACTCGAAAGTGGTTCGGGCCGAAACTGTAGGCCGAACCCATCTAACGAGAAGAGCTCGGGGCGGTCCTCGCTAAGGGAAGCTTCAATAGTAATAAAATGTATATTCATTACACTCTCCCAGCTTCTAGATAAGGCCTCCTTATACGTCGCAGAGTCTTGCAGTAGCTTGAAAACTGCAGATCTTCGCTGCAGCCATGTGCTCCGGTCTGTGTCTCCCAGGAGCAACATAGCGTGCAAGAATGCTAAGAGGGTATGCAAGGTCAGGTCGTGTGCAGGTCATCAGGTACATGAGGCAGCCAACAAGCTCTGGGTACGGGCCACTCGACTCTACGGACTCATCCGAAGGCAGAGCTGAGAGCGAGTGGCGAGTAGGCAGAGGAGTGGCCTGAGGCGAGGAGTACGTGAAGCCGAAGCGCTGAAGGACCTGCTGCACCATGTGTGACTGAGTCAGGGTAATGGTGCGGCGTGCTCTGTCCCGAGTGATCTGCAAGCCAAGGTAGCTGCGCAGTTCACCCAGGTCAGTGCACGTGTGTCTCTTCTGCAGCTCGGACTTCACGTGGGCTAGTCCAGCAGTGTCAGCTGTGGCAAAGACCAAGTCGTCGACGTACACGAGGATGTAGAACGGCGGCAAAGAAGTGTCGGTGCGCAGAAACAACGACGGGTCGGCAGTAGAGGGAGCAAACCCAAGAGCCGCAAGTGTAGTCCTCAGTGTGTCGTGCCACTCACGCGGTGCCTGGCGGAGACCGTAGACTGGCCGCCGTAGGCTCCACTGGGTGCCAGGAGGAAAAGACCCAGTGAAGCCAGGTGGGCGACGCAGCCAGATCTCCTCGTGCAGGCTGCCCTGCAAGAAAGCAGTGCTGAAGTCAAGAGAGTGTAGCTCGTAGTCACGGTGAGCAGCTACGTGCAGCAGTACCCGAAGAGTGGTCATCTTCGGGGTGGGAGAGAAGGTCTGAAAGTAGTCAACTCCCTGCCGCTGACTGAAGCCACGAGCCACGTAACGCGCCTTGAAGACAGGCGGAGAACCCGGCGGTCGCTTCACCCTGAAAATCCACATGCCACTGACGATGTTCCCCCCAGGAGGGGGAACAGCGTCAACGTAGGTGCCTGTGGACTTCCAGGAAGCCATCTCTGCGTCCATAGCTGCCTGCCACTGAGAGGAGTAGGGACCCTCTATTGCCTCCGCGTAAGAGCGCGGAGTCGGGATGTCAAGTGCATCCGGGTCTCCCTCAGGGGTAAGCAGTACGGACACGAGATGAGGTGAAGCAGCGGCCAAGCACTGGAACTCCTCCTGCCTGTCCTCAAGGACGTCCGTGCCAAGGGCACACTCACCCCCGACGGACGGAGGACAGACAGACTCAGACTCAGCAACAAGACTGGCGACGTAGTCTAGGCGACAGCGAGCAGCAAAGTCGACGAGCTCAGCAACTAGAGCAGACGCAGCAGTGGACTCAAAGGAAGGGTCAGTGACAACCGTAGCAAGGAGACGCGTGACAGTAGGACTGGCAGCGCGAAGAGAGTCCGACTTC